AGAAACCAATTGCCTTGCAAATACTTTAGGTAAGTTAATAAGTTCTTTTGGGCTACCGTCCAATGTTTAATAGCTTAGCGCGGAGGGCCAAGTTAGAGATTCAATTTTGGGCAAATTGAGGCCTTAGACGACTTCAAATTTAGAGAATTCCAAGTTGTAGGTGGTTTAAGTCAGTTCTCGAATAGCGGCTTCTTGAGCCCAATTTGGATTCTCATAATGACTTGATTAACCAAACAATTATGAGTATTCAATGATATTTTCTTATTGTTTAACCGTTTAAGTTATGGGTGCCATGGAGGTAAATTTTAAGTTTTGAGTGTACAATTTTGGTCGGTTATACTTTTCTCTGATATTTCCAAGGGATTAAAGTATTGTGCTGTTGCAGCTATTGTACCGGTCTTTGACAGGGATAAATTTATTTTCTATTTTCCTAATAACTTTTGAGATAAAATAAACCTATGTTTTGGATGCCAACCTTTCAGTGTGCTGGACTTACCCAACAAGTTCATTGACATTAGAACCTGTCCATTGGATCGTCCCCTTAAACAGCTGGAACTATTAGGACTATACGTTATCTAGAATATTCAATAGGTACAATTGTAATTAAGCTCATCTGTAATAATATGTCTATATATACAGCTCCTCTAATGTATGTAAGGTAACTGAAAGAAATCAATAAGACTCTCTCTGTTTCTCTGTTCTTCTCCTATACTTCTTCAGGAACAAGTGAGAGGCCTCATATGACCTAAGAAAGAAATAAAAAGAAAGGCTAGAAAACTGTATAGCTTGTTTGTTTTTGGCCTTTGATAAAAGCTGCTGTGAGTGTGGTGGTCTAAGTAAGCGGGGCGGTTTCATGGTTAAGTATGGTGGTGCTTATTGAGGAATATCTGCTAGAGATTTTCATGCTAATATTATTCAAATCTCTAGGCTTATTATCTCTTTTATGCGATGCTTATAGTTTAATTAAATATTGAGATATATATATATATATATATATATATATATATATATATATATGGCTTTAGAGTATGCCTGTTCTTTATGAAGTTTGTTTTAAAGAATTTTTTTTCACGACTTTTTAGTTGTAGATTGGTTCCTCCTGCGGATTTAAGCACTTATGTTGGCTTAGGCTTCGTTTGTGGCAGCTTTCTTATTATTTTTCAAAGCAATTTTTTAATACAAATATTTTTAGTTAAAAAAAAAAAATTGTACTAAAAAATTGCTTTAGAAAGTAATAAGAAAGCTATCCCAAACAAAACCTTGATAATATGAAATTTGGTGTTTTTTGTACTACTGGATCTTTTTTTATGTTATTTTATCATTTCATTGTATGTTTTCAATATTTTTATTTTTCGATCGTGCTTGGGCATGAGCAAATAAAAATTTCCAATTAATCTACCATCTTCTCAGATCTATGTCAACATTTTCTCAGTAAGGATTAACTTTGAGTCTTTGTAAGCGGTCTTAATGCAAAATGATAATAAGATACCCAATAAAACATAAAGGCATGGGTAAAATTCTTTTGAGGATCTCCATGTAGGAATCCACATATCTTAATTGTATGTGCTATCTCAATCAAATTAAGAAGCGTAATTCAGCTCTTAAATTGTGGAGTCAATGAGCTATGCACCCCCACTTTTCCTGGGTTGGTTGCCACGGAGCTTTTTCCATCTAAAGAGTTTTGTGGGATTTTTATTCCTAGAACGCTGGATTCTACTCTTATTCTGGATAAATTATTCTATGCGGACACAGGATGATTTTCTTAATGATTTTTAAAACAGTTTTTCATTACCAAAATTTCTAATTCAACAAATCTTTGAACTAAAAAAGTTAATTTAAAAAACAGTAAGAAATTTATCTTAAATGAAACTTCAACGTGTAAATTTGAATTGACACGTCTATCTTACATAAGTTGTATTAACTTATAGCAGAATGCTTTCATAGGTTTGAAGAAGAGTGACAAGATTGGAGAAATAGGCGGCAGGAGCTTCTATCTCTGCACTAACAGCGGCCGGCGTAGCTTTACCTTTGGAAGGGAAACAAACGATTCTGGCAACTCCACTGATCAAGGCAGTCAGATTGTTCTTGCGTCACAAAGCGGGAATCAACTGGTGCTTTCTCAGATCTTCTTCTCGATTGTTTCTAAGAAATTAAAGAAAATTGAGAGGCGAACGAAGAAGTTTTGGAAAGTGGTTACCCGTATTATCTGCATGTGATGCTTCATTTCCAAATTCTGAGATGTATATTGTTACTATTTTTTTCATTCTTTCGTTGCATGATGAGCCATTGCTTCTACCTTGATGGCTTTCTAACAAAGAAGTGTTGGTCTCGAGAAATTATTCTACGTCGTCCGGAGACAAATCAAAATGAGGCACGTCGGTACTGCGGCTCGGTATTGTTCGGTATTGTTGACGTGACTCATTCTATTTGGTATCCGGATGTAGAGCTACGCGTGGAGTCCGCACAGAATAATTTCTTGGTTGGTCTCATACCTCTCTCATCGTTGGTGTACGCAAAGAGGAAGAGACTTTTGTGATTGATGTAAAGTTATTTGTACTAATGATGTCAAATTCAGAAGGAAGAGAGAGGTTTGATGAATTCTTTTGGGGATTTACTTATATATTATAAAATTTTATGTATTTATATATTTAATTCCTAAACTTATATTTATTTATATGACAATTAAATTTTAAATCATTTAAAATATATAATTAATATTAAGTTATTAAAAAATATTTTTTCACATATATGTTTTGATATAATTTATAAAATTTCTATATTAAACATATAAATATATAATTTTTTTTGGGTAACATGTTTATATGTGGCACTTATTATTTGTTGCATCGGATTGATAACATTCAATCTAAATTATCGGGATTTTTAAGTTTTAGGGAAAAATATTCTTCATAAATGCTTGTGATATCCAATTCCTATAACCCTTGATAGTCTAGTGCGGAATCAGCTATACTTATAAGAGTGGGCAAACTTGTTACATGTATAATTAAATAAAAAAAATAAAAAATATATATATGTAGGACTAAATAAAAAATTGCCCAATTATTATGTAGAAATAAATTATAAGGGTCGAGAAAACCAAGTTTTTTAGGGAGGGGGAGCAAAATTTTTAAAAATTGCCCCTCATTATAGAAATAAATTTTGATGGTGGACCCCTCACGTATATGGGGTTCCGCTTCCGCCCATGTTTAAGAGCTTAGCCATATTACATTCAAGCTTTCAAATATACTTTTATTGTAATTATCAAATTAATATTTGTCAAGGTTGTGGGCCTTGTGGCTCTTCCTGCTGGCTATTCATTTTTTTTTTAATGATGAGGAACAGTTTGCTGCCACACCTGACTTCGTTGAGCGCGTTTGGCGGTCCGTAAATCCCAGCCGACCTAATGGGTCACCTAGGCCACAAACCCATAACCGGTGCGTAGGACTATTCTCTTTTTCTCTTAAGTGATTTTATTTTTTTGCTCAAAACTCGAGGATTTCTTTAATATGGAAAATGAACTACAATGAGGGTTTTGAAATTATTTTACTATACATTATGTCCAACCAAATGCCTAAAGTAAAAAAAAAAAATAATAATTTATTTGATTTAATTTCATTCATTTTTGATGTAACCAAATAGACCCTAAAAAGAGAAATCTTTTGCGAAATTATTATATACGTTCAGAAGTCAACCAAGATGCACCTGGTCATCAATACATTATATACGATTATGAATTAAGTGATGTGACGCATCTTAATTATTCTCCGAATGATTTGATGATGACAAAAATAATCTCTCAATTTTTATTATCTGTTTTTCTTTTGGAGAAACATTTGAGCTGTGGCTGCGGATTTTATCCTGTTTATTTGCGGGAAGGGCCATAGCCTCAACCCCAAGCGAAAGACTCGGGGAAGAAGAAAAGGATCTTATGGGCTCGACATTCGCTGTGGCTCGTGGTGTTATCTTCAGCTGGTTTTACTCCTCTGGCCACTCTTCCTCGTCTTCCATTGACAAAGAGCCACCAGCATATCCTGACTTTGGAAGAAGGTTTCACGCTCATTTTGTTCGGCTATTTCGATTCCGGTCTACTCATATAGATCATATTCTGGCTTCTTTTTAACCTTTTATTTTATTATTATTTTTTTTAATTTTTAATTTTTGGATAAATGCTGCATAAAAAGGGAGGTGGTACTGAGGAGCTTTGCGGTTCCAGCAATGGCGGCGATATTCAACTTCAGGTACTTCCATTCTTCCTCGTTCCGATAAATCCCTGGCACAGGGGAGGGACGGCCAATGTTTGAGTTCAATTTACAGGCATAATCTTGGGTGTTTTATCTTTTCTTGCAAATAATACACAAATGCTAGTTTTTTATGACCAAGGAATCGTTGCAGTTTTCTGTAATCATCCATTCCCAGATATGTGATTCCCTGTAAACATTCCTAATTTTGTTCAAGATTAATACAATTGGAAATTCAATTTCGGTTAAAAATTTCAATTGCTCCTCAATTTTTTATGTTTCAATTGTCTCGTAGAGCAATGCGTTGCGATTTTGCTTTTAATTGTTGTATTTTCTGATTTGCACCTAAGACAAATGAGTTTTGGCGTATTTATCTGTCTTCGTAGCTGAATCATAATTGTGATATATAATTCTCACATCATTATAGTTGTATTAGATAACATAAATTCTAAAGTGTTCTACATCATATTGGTTATTGTAAAATTAATTATAGTTTAATATCTCTTATTCCATACTCATCATGAATACTCTCATTAATCATTTTTTTAGATCTTATATGTTTATTAAATCACCCTCAATAAATCTTCTTTCTTCCTCACATATGCTGTAGTAGATCATTTATCTCGTAAAAAAATTGATTTTTCAAACTATCTTTTAATCCAATTTAAGATGCACAAGTACTAAGCATGTTTAAAATATCATCACTAATTCCAAACTTGATAGCAAAAGTCTGATTACTAACCTTATTTGTCCTAATTGTTTAATATTTTAATTCTATATCTATTATTACCCCTTACAGAAAACTAGAATTACAACACTTGTATTTAATTGAATAATATTTAGATACAATGAATAGTTCTTATATCTCTAGTCTCTAGCAATTCCAACTCAATTCCTATTATTAACCTTTCCAGCATATTGTACTATTCCCCAATATCCATGAATTTCTCCCCTTTCCCATACAAAGTTTCCAAATTTCTTTTAAAAATCGAATGAAGGTATGCTAGTTAAAATATTTAATCTAGCAAATCATTAAAAAACCTTATGTCAAATTTAGAAATATCAGTATGATCGTTAATGGCTGTTCAAATATTAACGAAAAGGTAATGTGTTTGTTAAACTAATCACGTAATTTATGTGCAAAATTAAAAATTTGGGCATACCCAATTCAAAACTGTCGCCAGTGTAAGTTTTGGGAAAGGGCTCTTGATCTACAAAATATGTTAGAAGGCAGTGTAGAAGTTCCTGGCTGTAACAATAGAACAATAGAAACATAATAAAACGTAGAATGAATGCTATATCTTCATAATGCTATAGCAAAAGTTCATGGCATGCTACAGGATACATAAGTATTAATATACTCGCAGGGTAGTTGGTTATAAAACAATGGTGCAGATTGCTTCAGCAGAGGACTAACGATCCAGATGCTGTGATCAGAAAAAGGTAATGTATGGCAGGAAGAGTGTGGAGCAGAGCACTTTATAACCACACTTTTTAAAAGCTTATCAGGAATTGCTTATCTCTTATCAGGCAGGTGATCATATGACTATATGTGCAAAGACGCATTAATTAGAAGGTCTGCATTTTTGCTAGATTTTGAGAAGTAATTTTGAGTGGCCTTTTTAATTATCGGCAGAGTTTCTAAGAAACAATTACTATAGTACCATTTATTTTCAAAATTGATATTCTCACCTTTTCTAACTCTATTTGTTTGATTAGTGGAGCCAAACCTGGATATCTTGGCGTTCAAAAGAACTCTCCTTCACTTGCGCTTTGCCCAGCAACTAGTAACTGCGTGTCTACATCAGAAGATATAAGCGATTCCAAACATTATGCCCCTCCATGGTGGGTTCCCTTTCCACCACTACTATCACTACAACACTTGACATTTTCTCTCACTGCATCCTATATGTCATGCATGCAGAAGGCCGAAACAACCCAACACATGGTCCACATTCTATATGTCATGCTACATTAAGAAGGCTGTATTGATTGTTTCCCTTGCGAGTAGCCTTAACCTGCTATGCTTAGAAAGTACATGTTTGGCTAGCTTGCTTTCATATTACTGCCAAATATCATAAGTTCTTATGTAGTGTTGCTTAATCTTTAAGGGAACTTGAGTGATTCAGTGGAAAATTATGCACATTTAAGCACTTGAGTCAACTATGGCTGGCAATTATTCTAGTTCTGTTTTATGATTGGTTGGGATATTTAATGTTCCGTACACTTATTTCTCATTATGATCGCATGTTGTTGGGGAAGTAAAACCATGCAGCGAACTCAAACAAGAAAGAAAAAATGCACCGAAAAGGAAGAACACTAGGATTTAATGTCGAAAAATCCGAAACTTGAAAAAAACCACAAGCCACACGGCCCACACCACATCATGAAATTCACTATGAAAATTTGGGAGAAATTGTACATATCTCTCTTCTCTCTCACTCTCTCCTAGTCTCTCTTTACTCTTGCACCTTTCTCTCACATGAACTAACAAAGAGAAAAAAACCATAAAACCATCAAGGGACTCAACCCTTCATGAAAAACGAGAAAAAAAATTATCTAACTTACCTCATAGTGCTGCGACGCTAGGTTTGGAGAGCCGCAGTGCTCTACTCTTTGTCTCAAGTCTGTTTGACAGTGCCGCAATGTTGAGGTTTGGAGTGTCATAGCGCTCTGCTCTCTGTCTACCTCCAACCAGACAATACAGTGCCTTAGAGTTGTAGCACTCGGGTATACAACGCCATGACGCTATGCGGTTGCATGAAAAAAAAATCCTGGTGCAAATCATCTGAACCCAAGTAGGTGTTGGGGGGGGGGGACCCTCTTTCCCTCTGCAACCTCCCGGTAAGCTCGATCGATGGATTGAGGTTCAAGGCAACAATACAACTGGATTGATTTATACAATCAGATTCCACACAAAACTAACACATGCAAACAATTAAGTTTTGTTGAACACCATAAAACATGTCATCATCATCATCATCATACTCATTAATCTTATCCTAAATATTTTGGGTCTGTTATATTAATCCTCTTATAATCATTGATTTTGAACACACGGAAGATGTTAACTCCATTTTTTGTGAGTTTCTTGCAAGACTTCTAGACATGCGAACTTGGCATGCCTATTTTTTATCGGCAATTATCTTTTTTGTCATAAGTGCACCTTTTTCCGTCATTTACGTGCGCAAACTACCTATTTTATCGCCATTTATTTTATCTCATTAGGTGCTATAATCTTCCATTTAATATATTCAGTATTCACTAATCTTACTAGTTTTTCACGCCTATCTTAACATCTTCATTTTACCAAAATCAGATTCATTACTAATAACTTCTTTGCTGTCCACACTGGTTCCATATCGTCTATCATTCTGATTTGCTTCTCAGGAATTACAACCCGGACGATGGGCGGAGAAAGAAAGCTGTAAGCAGAGAGGAAGCAATGGAAGAACTTCTTCAAGTGGTAAGAAAAAAAAAGAAGTCAGTTTTTTATCTGCAAGGGTTCACAAGCAACACCATATCTAATTCTGAAACCCATCAGTTGGTTTCTGAAAGGCCAGACAGATTCACTCCTCGAGTGGTTGAGAAGAAAGATGATTACGTTCGAGTGGAATATGAGAGTCCAATTTTTGGGGTACTTCTGAATAATTTATTAGCACTGAAGCTACATTTGCAAAACGCAGTTTTTTATCAAAATGATAATTGACTAGTTTTAGGCTAAAAAGATTGGTTGTTATCCTTTTTCTTAGTTTGTGGATGACGTGGAGTTCTGGTTCCCACCCGGCAAAAAATCTCTTGTAGAATACCGCTCTGCTTCTCGCTCAGGCAACTTCGATTTTGATGTCAATAGAAAACGGATCAAGGTAAAAACCCGAATATGAACTTCTAGTAAAACAATAAGCCCTTTGGCAAACCTTCAGCTTTTTATGTCTATTATGAAACGCTCTTTTTGTATCAGACTCTAAGAGAAGAACTGGAACAGAGAGGATGGGCCTCTGAGAGCAGCTTCTGATAGTTTTTGCCTCCAAGCTGATGGTGGTTACTTGAAGTTGGATGTCAAGAAGGGCTTACAAGAAGGGTAAGTCAATGCTGAACCGATTGATTGTTCTTGGTTTACTGCTTTGATATACACTTTTAATATCTATGACGCCAAATTCTCAATGCCATTGACAAAACTCACTTTAGTTGAGGTGATGATTCACAACTAATGACAATTCATTTATATAATCCTTAATTTGATGCCAATTGATTCTAAATTGAAATTGTTTTCTTCTGCAATAGAAAGGTCAAATTTACTGAAAATAAAGCTAAATTATCTTGTTTTTTTTAGATTTTGTACTCTTTACCCAAATAATAACGTACACATATCTCCTTATCATTACCCTTAGGGTCTAATTGACATCACTTTTTATTTTTATTTTTTTAAAATTAATTATTATTTTGTAAGAAAATCAAATTAACAATATTTAGGACACTAAATATAATTTTATTTCATATCAAAATATAAATAAAAGCAGAAGCTGGTCCCAAATGCAACATCTAGGTGTAGGCACCTATGATGCACGGACACGGACACGGCGACACGGACACGACACGACACGACACGGACACGGGACGTTTTTTTTTTTTTAATATAGGACACGGGTACGGAGCAGACACGGCAATACTTTTTTTTATATAATGTATATATATTAATGTTATATCATATTAAAAATGACAAACTATAATAAATGAATGACATGATAACTTGTCTAGCTTATAATATAAAATATTTAGTAAAAAATATCTAATACAACCAAAAAAATATAAGCAAATAATCACTACTGCAACATCAAGAATTCAAGCTTCAACTACTAGGATTAGCTTTAGAGGTTTGTTTTTGGCCTTCAATATCATCATCATTGAATATCACTGCTTTCAACTCTGGTTCAACAAGAGAAAGATTTGTAATTGTACAAAAAGAGAGGAGATGAAAATACCTTCACTGCCAAAGAGAAATGAAAATGAGAATATCCGATGAATGGGTATTAAATGCAGATATTGATTTGGTGTTGTGGATAGGAAATAAGAAATTTAGTTTAAATCTCGCCAAATATAAGAAATTATATTTTAAAAAAAATATAAATTATTTAAGATGCGCGTGTCGGACATGCGTGTCCAATTAGTTTTTAATATTTTTTTAATCGGACACATTTTTGGAGTGTCGGAGGAGTGTCGTGTCGGAGGAGTGTCGGACGAGTGTCGTGTCGGACACGGTGTCGGACACTGCACGCCTCTTTGAGGAGAAGTGTCGGTGCATTATAGGTAGGCACAAACATCACGTGTGTTGGGGGAAAAAGTGATAACTAAGAAGAATGAAACTGTTTGATATTGGTACGTAGTAAAAAGTACAAATGAATGAAGAGTAACATATTGTGGAAAAGAGTATCTAAGACTATTATATTTGACAAGTCGAACTAATATATTTGGAATATATTTATTAGAGAGTAGATTAACTGATATTCTATATTCAAAATTGAAAATTGGTATATCCACCAGTGAATCATCCTCGACTCTCAGTCTGTCTGCACACGTATGGGAGAAAAGAAATCTTGCCTTGGTTTTGTGCCCATAAGTCTTGAGCCATATGGAAGGTTTGTAACCCTATAGGATTTTAGGCCGCATCTCCTCAATTTGCAACAAAATTCTTGCTATTGTTTATGGAGGAGTCCTCTCTATGTTTTACTAGGCAAGTTTGAAGGTTCCCATAACATACCGTTTTTTGCTTAGGGTTTCGAGTGAGATTAAAGAGGCAAGACATGCCCTTACAACTAGGATTTTTGTTTTTTTGGAGTGCATCTCTAGGTTTGGATTCTATCTTGATGGTGACTTACGGATTTCAGCATTGATGAGGGCATCTGTTAAGCCTTTGGCATGCATTGGCTTGGATGAAGGATCTTGACGTATGGTAGTCTTGTATATGGAATTTATATTAGCCTTCTTTATTTGCGTATGGTTTAGCTGGGATTTGTGAAGAGTTGGTGAGCATTCTTTTATTGTTGATACCTTGTTTGCAGTTTTTTTATTTATAATGGATCAAATACTCTCTCCTCTCCTGTAGACAAAGTGATGTGGGGAGATCAATGAAGAATCATCACATAACACAGCTCCTAAGAACAAAAACACCAAAACAGTGAAAGCACTGCTAAATCCCAAAAATGTTCATTAATATCTCCTTTTTCCTATAGCTTGTATGCATAAATGCAAAAGAAATCTCTAGAATGTTCTAGAAACATGTAACAAACTAGATCTAATAGCACTAGGGAATATTATAACTAAAATGCTCTACATCATTCTCCTACAATATGAAGAAACCGGAGCATGGGGCAGATCACAAGAGACGTCGATGCGTAGATGGAGCACGCGGGTTCAGGTCGCGTGTGAGAGCGAGGCTTGGCTAGTCGAGCGAAATCGGAGCGGGGTTGTATGCGGAAGTAGGTGCACTTGGGTTGGAAGGATTCAGAGTTGCGGAAGCACGTCAGCTTTGTGCGGGAGAATCATTCAGGCGGTCGTGCGGGTTGAAGTGCGCAGGGCTTCGGTGCCAGTCACATATGAGAATGGAGGAGGTCGGAGATGGGTGCAAGCTCGCGGATCATGAGCGGGCTAGGTGCCAGGCGCGGGGTCGCAAATCAGAGACAGATAGCGGGTGAGTCTGGCGGACTGGTTGGGGACAGATCATGGGCAGGTGAGTGCGAAGATGGTTGATGATTTGGTTGCCATTGGTGGATTCATTATGGTATGGTTGCCAGAAGATTGAATCACTAATATGGTTGCAAGCGGTGGATGTGTAAATCGCCGAAATGGTTGCGGCTAATGAAGGTTGAATTGCCGGTATGGTTGCGGTTGGAGGCTTCGAACGTTATCGACAGCCTATCTTCATCCATGGTCTTCCCAAAGCTTTCAAACCGCGCGATCGATGTAAAAGGGTGTAGGTAGCTACCTTCATCTTGGTTAGAAGCTCACGGCTCTAATCGACGTCAAGGGTCGAAGTCGGCTATGATACCACCTGATGTGGGGATATCAATGAAGAATCATCACAAAGAACATCTCCTAAGAGCAAAAACACCAAAATAGTGAAAACACTGCTAAATCCCAAAAATATTCAATCATATATCCTTTTTGGCTACAACTTGTATATATAAATGCAAAAGAAACCTCTAGAAGGTTCTACAAACATGTAACAAACTAGATCTAATAGCCCTAGGAAATATTATAACTAAAATGTTCTGCATCACAAAGGCTTGATTAAAGTCAAACCAATAAATCTAGGTTGCATTTTTCTATGTTTCTTGATTTCTTTTGTGATTTAATTTATGGTTTCATTGTACTTCCTAGTTGTTGATGCTTTCACATTGAGTTTTGCCATTCTCAATATAACAAATTGGCATTAACGTGCAATTCTAAGTACTAAAATTGTTAACATAATAGTTTTTGTCTTTGGAGAACCAAAATCCTTTTGTTGAGCTACTTATGTTTGATAGAGATCTTGAAGTAACAATCATAGAGAGGTTGTGGTTTGTGTTAAGAACATCATATCTTCGCCGTTTTGGCGTCCTGACCATAAAAAAAGTTCTAAAACAATATCAAGTATGTGGTGACAAGGGAACTTCAAGAGATGATCTAATAAAACATGTTTGCATTACACACCTAGTTCTAATGTCAGGCTATACCATTGTAACCTTTAGGGTGATTAGAGTCATTTTAGAGGCACAAAATTTTTCTTCCAATTGCATATTTAGTATTAATGGATCCACCTTTATGTGAAAGATATATTTTTTGGATATCTCTTACATGTGTTCAGAGATTGCATGGTGCTATACCCTTCAGAGTTTTGGAGCTTAGAGTGCTCAACATATGGATGACGAATCATAGAGGAGATTCCAAATTTTACCTCAATATTGAGTTAATGGGACAATTTTTATATTTGACTTCATGCAATTGCATAAGAATCATTAATATTTTCCTACTGTTAGAGAATACATGTCTGAGAATTTACATCAAAGATTAAAAATCATGACATGCATTAAGAACTTGTACCAACCCTTTGCCTTTTGCATCACGACTAAAGAAATGAAATCTTGCCTTAGGATTTGGCTTGAGAACTCTTGGGTCATGCGCAAAGTATGTGGCCTTTTAGTGTTTTGGGTCCCCTCCTTGATTTATGTGCAAGGCTTGTGATTATAGATGGAGTTGTCTTCCTAGGAATACATTCCAAGCTTGAAGGCTTCCATTGCATATCCTCTTAGCTCTCTTGATAGGGTTATAATCGAGCTAAGCCAAATTAAGCTGAGTTGAGTGTAGAATATCATGGATTACTGGGTTTGACTTAACTTAGTCATACTACAAGTAGTTCTTGTTCAGCTCGATTTCGAGCCATGCTTTAACGTGCAAGTTCGTGCTCGACTTATTTAGGTTTTTTTATATTTGAGCTTGGCGTGTACTTGGATTTCTTAAATTAATTGAATGAGTACTTAAATGAGCTAATAAATAAATAAGCTAAAAATTTGAACGAGTACTAATTTTATATGTCTAAATGACCAAGCAATGCAATCAATATGGGATTAGTATCGAGCTACTTGACATCAATTAAATAAGCACGAATTCAACAAGGTAATAATAAGTTCGAATAAACACTGGCAATAATCTACCATAATCAAGTATTAACAAATTTGTTCATTAGAATGGAAAAATAAGCAGGGATTGCATTAAATTAACATGTAAATTCATTAATAACTAATTAATTATTTGAAAATATAAAAAAATAAAAAATAAAATGTGAATATTTACCTAAAAAATATAAAGACTGTTTTGGGTTATGATTTGAAAGTTTTGATTTATATAGGTAAAATGATAGTGACTATATTATAGTGTTCATTCATGTCAAAGAATACAAGAGATGAAAATATAAGAACACAGAGAAGTTCCATAACACTTGATGGGATGTGGAATGCAAATAAAAGAAAGAAAATACATAAATTTAGAAGATAATTGTAAGATAAAAATCAATGCAGGAGAATGATTTCTTCAAAATTGAATTAATTTTTTTTTTTTGGACATTTAGATCAATTAAAGCAAACTTGCACACACAATATATATGCAATACTCAAATCCGAGACTTCTTAGTTGACAGTTAAAGCTCCCAACTAATAGATCAAGATGAGTGGCATAAATTTACTAAATTTAATTAGTCAAAACCATCCTTGCATTATAACTTCTTTATATTTAATATCATTACAAAAGAGGAGAAGATGTAATGACTCAATAATCTAAAGGGTTAGTCGAACACTTCATTAATACTTCCTGGGAACTAGCTTATAAATGTGATTAAGTTATTCTGGCCAAATTTTTATTAGAATAATTTTGAATAATTAATGTGTTAATTTTTCTATGATATTTATTCTATTGATTTTATATAAATGCATTTATGTTTTATTATTTCATCATAATTTCAAAATACTTTTTGAATTTATTTACGCATTAAAATAACATAATTTTATGCCATCTAATATAATGAAAATATTACTTGTCAATTTTTAAGTTCATCCTGATTAACTTTGGGTAAAGAATATCTTGACCCAATTTTTTTTCTTTACTGTTATTTTTGTGGTCATTTTAAAAGACATTTTTTTTTCCTTTGCAAGGTATCATAAGACAGTTACAAATATTTAAATAGAAACTATACTTAAATATAAAGAGAATAGTAAGCGTCAGAATTTCTATTACGTTGAAAAAAATATTATCATAGTTAGCGTGATAAAATAGGGATCGTCAATATGCTGCCTAATCCTTTTGTTATTGTTGTTATGTAGAAAACCAGCTTAATTGACGTGTGTAATAAATCAGGTTGGAAAGTGATGGTCAATCTCAAATGCCTCAGTTTTTTTATTTTTTATTTTCTTAACACACAAACTGTTAATTGATTTAGAATAGGAGGACATGCTTTTTAGGCTTGGAAAATTCAAGAAAGAAAATGATAAAACAATGCCCAATGAAACTTCCTATAGCATGGAATGAGTTATGTGGCACTGCTTTTATTCCTATAATAGGAGGAAACATAATGCAAGAATATGCTTGTTAGAGTTGTGTCAATAGTTGTGTTTGTTCATATAGATCATGATGTTTTATTGAGGAGTTCGATTGTGGTTGATGGAAAAGAGAGTTGTGATGTACGTGGGGTTGCGGTGGTATGCCTTGTGGGCAAGGGTTGGAGTACAAGTCTTGCGGATGAAGCTAAGACGTATATGTTGCTATAAAAAAAATGTTGAAAAAGGGCTACATACTAAGGCTAAACATTGGGTCTTGTGGGTTATGGTCGTAATATAGGTCTTTTATGGAATGGATCTTGTTGGTGTGGTTGCGGTGTAGGATTTATTGCGAGATAAGCCTCACTAGTGATGGTTGTGATGCACCAGCACTTGGGGGTTGTTAACAAAAGAAGGCATTGATAAAAGGCATTAATCATGGATGTTGACATAATACATATATGAAGGGCGTCAAGATATAGGCAAAGACCTTGATGTAAGAATTGACTTAGGTTTTGGTGAAGCTTCGATTAAGGCATTAACAAAGATGGAGGAGTTGACCAAGGTGATGGTTGAGGCTGTAATGGAGGTATTGACAAAGAGTGTTATTGATGGAGGTATCAAAGGAGGTGTCAAGCAAGAGTGTTGATGTCATTAATGAAGGCACCAATATAGGCGCTAACAAAAGTTTTGATGGATGTGTAAGTGGAGGCATTGATGGAGACAAAACTAAGGTTGTTAATGAGGTGTTTATGGAGGAATCAATGGAGGGCGCCAACAAAAGGATGGCTATGGTGTATTAATAAAGCTAATGTCATAGACAATGATAAAGAAGTTACGAATGATATCAATAAATGTATCGACAATTAGCATTGATGAAGTTGTTTATGGAGGCTTCAATGGATAAGGTTGATGGAACGCTTTTGGATGCATTGATGGTGTTGTTGGTGAAGAGCTTTAATAGTGGTGTCAATGTAGAGCTTCATGGAGACATCAATGAAGATATTGATAAAGATATTGATGTAAAGCATCATTTGAGGTTTCATTAAGGGCTTTGATGGAAGTGTCAATGAAAAATGTTTACGACGACATCAACTGAGGGATTGATGAAGATCAATGATACATTCTTAAATGAAGGCGTCAACATAGTTATAGTTAGCCAAGAAAGCTGAAAACACCTATGAAGCTATCAATGAAGTTCTCAATAAATGCGTTGATGGAGGCATCAATGAATTTGTTGATGAAAACATTGACAAATGCATCATCGGAGACCTCAATGAAGGAATTAATAGAGGATGTGGATGGTGACATTAACATAACCTTTGATAGATCTTGGGGAGGGTGTGGATGGAGACATGGACGAAGGAATTTGTTAAGCCATGTGAGCATTAGAATCGATTCTACATATGGTAGTTGAAAAAAAATGTTGATATTTAAATTACAAGTAATTGTTTTCACCCGCAAGCTTAAGGTTTTAGGTTCAAAATGGGTTTAGACTTTAGTTCAAATTCTATAAAAAGTGATATCATAGCCTATGATTTAAATAGAATTGGGTAGTTTATGTAGTTTGTGCCTCCTGTCTTGATTGAGCAAGGTTAAAGAGTGGATAACTCCTATGATGCCTTCATGCAGTTGAGTGGCTCTTGATGTGATAGTTGGTGATTTAACAAGTTTTCATTTGAATTAGAGTGAGGGTTAATGTGGAGAGATTTCATGTGAGAGAAAGATTGTTAAGGGGTTGTCTTAAATTTGATAATTGAAAACTATGTTGATTTAGAAATACCATATGGTTGGCTTTCATTCATAAATAACTCCACTTAAAGTTTTGGGTTGAAAATAAGTTTAACTACAACTATATCTGGCCTATATTCACCCTTCTTTTAATTTATTCCCTAAGGGATATGTTGAAGAACATGGATGGAGGGGATAAGTGGAAGCATCAATGAAGGCATCAATAAAGTTGTCCAAAGATTTGATGACAACCAAGACATTGATGAACATCATTCACAGTCTGGCTAAAATTTGGACGGAAAGAATCGACAGAGCTGTGTTAACATTGATGTCTATGAAATAATTGAATTTAATGACTAAAACTCTGCCTTTTAAGATATATTCTTGGTCGGGCTTCTCATGAACATGTTTGATGGCAATAAGTGGGTTCTCCCCTGCATCACTTCCTCCTCTTATTGTGAAAGAAATCAGATAAGATGGCAAAATAATCTTTATCCTATGCTATGGCTCTTGGCTACAATGCAAACTTGCCTTGAAAGGAACCCAAAAAGTTTTGGATGGTTATATAGGAGAGGGAATGAGGGAGGGGTTCATCCTTCATAGCAAGAGGTGGAGACATGGAAAAATTATTAGGTGCGGAGTGTGCACTGTCCGCACAAGCACTGGGTACTTAGCGGTACCGAGTGCCGGTACCTAGCTGGGTATAGTGCTTGCGCAGACGGTTCTCCCCGTCCGCACTCCGCACCTAATAATCTCTCGGAGACATGGCTCTATTCTCCCATCAAACAATGATACATAGAGAGATTAGGATATATTTGTGGCTTAAATAATGATAAATTATTAAAAGCAGATAATAAATGAAGTATTGAGTATGTATAGGTCGGAGTACACAATTTTATATTTTTTGTAGCATGTGCATATAATTGTGTACTACTCACTATAATGTACGCAAAGTTGTTTGTTTTATCCACACACAATAATTTCTCTAAGTACATTTTTTATTCATTTAAGCTTTCTAAAGTTTGACTTGGGCTACCTACATTTATGATGGACTTTGACATACAACTCATTAGGCTTATTTAAATCTATTAATTTTATGATGTATTTTTTAAATATAATATAAATTATATAAATTAAAAACTTGTTCAAATTTTTAGACTATTAATAGTAACTCTAGCTTAATTAAGTCAAGAGTCAAGTGTTAATTGAGACTATTATCTTCAAAAATATTGTAAATCAATTTTACATTTATGATGTCCCATTGAAACCAAGTAAATTTAGTTTAATTGACACTCAAGTTAGCTTGGACTCTTGTTGCATCCTAGAGTATTCGCGGCAGTAGAGAAATATAAAGCTTAGCATCTTAGCTTTGTACGAAAATCCGGCATGCAATCAGATTAGAGAGAGAGTATGTAACATTTATAAGACACCAAGATTTTTACGTGAAAAACCTCTTAAAAGGGGGAAAAACCATAGGGCCTAGCCTAGTTTGAATGAATCCACTAGTATTGCAGTTGATTACAAATGAGGCCCTTCCTTGGGAGAAGGCCTTAGCTTGATGTACATTTTATAGAGTACATTACATGATGTGAATACAAAGAATCACTATTGACGTGTTTGTTTGGTCGGGAGGACCATAGTCTGGTGACGGAGGTTAGAAAGACTGTCGGCTGGCGACGGAGGTCGGAAGGACTGTAGTCGGTGGGCGACGTAAGTTAGAAGGACTGTAGTCGGCGGGCGACAGAGGTCAGAAAGACTGTAGTCGGCAGGCGACGTAAGTTATGAGGAGCGTAGTCAGCGGGCGACGGAGGTCGGAAGGACTATTGTCTGACGACGAAGGTCAGAAGGACGACGTCAGGTAAAAGTCCAACAATGGAAAGAAATTCATCTTTGGATAGACGTCCAGCAAAAGTCCGATAACCAGTAGAAGTTCGACGTTGGGTAGAAACTTGGCGAAGAGTGAAGGTATGGCGTCGGGTAGAAGTCCGACGTTTGTTGGTGGCCGAGGAGAACTCCAGCATCACTTGGGCGGAGTTTCAACGTTAGGAGGGAACTCTGTCGTTAATTGGGAAGAATTTCAGCATCCCGTGGAAGTTGTGCAGAATTCTTGTGGAAGTCGAGCAGAATTCCGACGTCATTTGGAGTTCGGGCGGAACTCTGGTGGTGGTCGAGGAGTCTTCCCTCCTATTCTTCTCTTCTTCTTCTTCTCCTCCTTCCTTTCTTCTTGATTGCGTCCCCTCTCATGAGAAATGAGGGGTCTATTTATAGATTTTTTGGAGTGGCATAGCTTGTAAATAGGTGTGAGATCAGGGGCAAATAGGGAGTGGTCGAATGGACGGTTGATATTGAATACCTTGATCGTGCACCGTTCGTCAGACATCTGAAGGTCTTAATGATGTTGGAATTTGACGATCTTGGGCTCGTTGGATTCGTCTCATCGAGCCGTTCGATTTGACTATAAGCTCGTTATGTTTGGAAACCGTTTGGTAACTCAAATTGTGGTTCGAACCTTTCAACAGCGCTTTGGGTCCTTTATTTGGACCCATTTGGGCTCGGATTGAGTCGAATTTGGTATCGTTGCGTTTGTATTTCCGAGACGCTCAGTTTGACTATAAGTTTGCTGAAATCAGAGTTCAGATGATCCTGAATTTAATTTTTTGAAATTTCCAGGTTGATTTTGCCTCGAGATTCATGCCCGATCAAGATAATTTCACGACGACCTATCAACTCTAATTTACAATTAGCCCCTTGGCTAATTATAAAATTTTAATTATGACCATTTTCCTGCAAATAGGCCAATTTGGGTGTATCAGGCATCTTTGTTTAATAAAATAAGAAGTGGCTTATGAGATTTGATTCTGGGATTCCCTCCTATTCTTCGTTGCCCTGAATATCGTATCAAAATTTATGTTTGATAAAAAAAAATTTTTTGGGTCCCAATCAGAATAGATTCTGCCCTAACAAATGTATATTTAACGTGCAAATTGATCCACGTTTAATGTGCTGCGAATACAAAATAAGAAGTGGCTTATGAGATTTGATTCTGGGATTTACATAATAGCCAAATCCATTATTTCAAAAAAAAATCTCCAAATATGGTAGATATATAACAAGGATCTCATTTAGTTCTTTGAAGTTCTAAATCTTATTTCATAATAATAAAAAAAAACCCTATGGGAAAATTAATTTTTGTTTTTAAGAATAAATATTTTTATTTAATTATTCTTCAAAAAGATTATTTTGTTTTATAAACATATAAAGTAAAATTGAGGTGATTTTACTAGTTTTTTTTTTTTTTTTCAAAAAAGTAAAAAAAAAAGGGATATTTTTGATATATCATCAAAATATTATCTTGATCAAGCTCGAATCTTGAGGCAAAATCAAGTTGGAAACTTGCGAAATTAAAATTGGGATCATCCAAACTCCAATTTTAACAAACTTATAGTCGACTTGAACGTCTTGAAAATACGAATCCATGACACCAAATTCAACTCAATCTGAGCCCAAAGGGGTCCAAATCACCATTCAGCCTTTCCCGATTTCGTAGCCTCTCTCCATCTCTCGCACTTTGCGTTTCATCGCAAGCAACGCCGCAACTTGCAATGCGGCGATCAGCGGCTGGTGACTGCACACCGTCTCCTCCCTTGCCTTGACCCGACGACTCTCACGCAAAATTCTTTTGCGTCGGCTAGCTCAGACGAACTACGGCCGTGACTCATGAGGTATTTTTTTTTTTTTATAAGTTATAATGTGGTATTATATTATTTGTTCTATAAAATAGACTTGTTCCTTGCAAAGATCTTCCTACAATCCTACTTCAATGCTTTGTCTTCATTTTGTTGTAAGATCTTTAATTTTTTTTTTTAAAATAAGTTTTATTGTTTGATTTTGTGATTTCTTTCATTCAGATTCATTGATTTCACTTCACATCAAGTCATTTTATAAGTTCTATTGTTTGAGTTCTAATATTATGGAGAGATATTTAAAACGATCTTCAATTCCAAAAACATCAAATGACAATAGCAATCAGGTTGAAGATCATAACGAAAAGCGTATTCGAGTGGATGATAATTTACCCAACAATATAGAAGTAAGTGTTGAAAATCTTCCTTCTGGTACGAATTCACATTGTTGACTTTAATCCTAATATTCGGGATGAAGTTCGAAGAATATTCTTACAACGAGGGCCATTTCAACCTCGCAGTTATGATTTTCCAAAAACTAAATTCGGGATGAAAGATAGACGATTTAATCCTACTTAGTTTGACAAATACTCTGATTGGCTTGAGTATAGCTTAAGCAAAGACAAATCATACTGTCTTTATTGTTATCTTTTTAGAAAATTAGGTAGAGGCAATGAAGAGGAATAAGTATTTAATAAAAATGGACTTTTTAATTTGGAAAAAAGCAAACAAATTTGATCTTCATGAAAGAGGCCATAACAGTGCACATAATAATGATAGACACAGTTCTGAAGACATACTGAAACAGAGTCAACATATTAGGTTTGTGCTTCAAAAGCAAACAGATCAAGCTATATCTGCATACCGTATCCGCCTCAGTACTTCTGTTGATTGCATAAGATTTTTTTTTTAAGGAAGGGCTAGCTTTCCGAGGATATGATGAGTCTTTTACATCAAAAAATCAGGGTAATTTTCTTGAACTGATGCAATTTTTGGCTGAGCATAACAAAGACATAGATGATGTTGTTTTAAAGAATGCTCTTGAGAATTTAAAGTTATTTGTACCTGATATTCAAAAAGATATTACTAGAGCATTTGCTATTGCTATTACAAAGTTATATCTAAGGAGATTGGTGATAAATTTTACTCAGTTTTAGTTGATTAATCACGTGACACATCCGCTATGGAGCAAATGACAATCATAGTCCATTTTGTTAATAAGGCAAGATAGTGGAAAGTTTTTTGGGGATTTCTCATGTATCAGATATTACTGCAAATAGTCTTAAATTGACGACTGAACAACTCCTATCAACATATGATTTGAGCATATATAGAATACGGGGTCAAGGCTATGATGGTGCTAGTAATATAAGAGGAGAGTTTAATGGTCTGAAAGCTTTGTTTTTCAATGAAAATCAATATTCGCATTACATTCATTACTTCTCACATCAGCTTCAATTAGCATTGGCGGCAGTGACAAAAAGTCATGTTCATATTGCTTTGATGTTTACTATCATTTCGAGTGTAATGAATCTTGTTGGTGCTTTTTATAAGCGTCGCGACCAAGTTCGAGAAATACAACGTAAGAAACGGGTAATACCAATATAATATTAATTTTATAATAAATCGAATATATTTTCAACTCATTTTCATATAATTTACCTAAATGAAGAGAAATCTACTACCAAGCAATTGGGTGGCCATACCTCCTTCTGAAAATGGACATGCTCAGTAGGGCAATCGACGATTGGGAAGCATCCTCCACGTGTTCAGGATCAGAACTCAAGTTTTAAACGCCGGCAGTATTTCTCCGCGGTGAGATCACCGCTATTCGAAGTTTGCTGCACCACCACTGTAGGATAACGTGAGAACTTCCCCGTCTAGTTCTGAGATTCAAGACTTCCTAAGAACAAGTCATTGCGAGTAGCCATTAGTTTAGCTGTTAATGATCCTTAAATTTATTATTATTAAAATTTAAGATTTATGCAACTCTCTTTAATTTTTTTGTTGGGAGCTTTGACTATCAACTAAAAGCCTTTGGATTTGAGTTTGTATATGTAATACAAGTATGAGTTTATCTTATACTTACCTGAACGGAGTCTAACGGTGATCAACAATGCCTGTGGCCTAGATCTGTGACCTTCATTGCACTTTGAAGTGGTGCAAGTCTACCATATATGATGTAACTCCAGGACCTGCACAGGAAAAGACAAACGAACTAAACAAAGAACCTGAAACAGAAAAAGAACTGTAAAGAGGCGTCTCCGACCTACGAGCTAAATTCTTTGATAATTCAATGATTCAAAATAGAAAACTGAGTTTTTCTACACACTTCTTTTCCTATATACATTTCTATCTTCTAGTAGCCTATATCTGCATATTGCTAATGAAATCGTAACAACGTGCACTACATCAATCTGCCCAAGTGTAGAGTGAAAGTCATAATTTGTGATAGGGGTTCGAGTCTACGGAGCCCCTACAAAAAAAAAAAAGAAGTATGTGTTTATCTTAATTGACCTTAAAATTTCATATATATAATTTAAAATTTGTCATTTTTAAAATTATATACTGGTGAAATAATAAAATAAGCCATTGAAAGAAAGCGAACTGCACTTCTTCCCTGATTCTCTATTAATTCTCCCTAAAAGCAATGCATACTGATACCGTTGGTTTCTTTCCTTTTCATGTGGAAGATATGCACCGCCCAAATATGGTGATGGCTGATGCGCTGTACTCATCATGTTCATGCACCCCACTATATGTGTGATGAATATTTATTATTATTGTGCAAATGCCATTTGAGGTGCCCGTTCTAGTCTAGAACTCTTACCAAACTTTTTCAAAAAGCTCCAAAATTATTTAGAAATCGGCCTCAAAATAGAAGAAATCAAGATAATTTCGGCCAAAGTTTTTGGGTTTGTTTTTTCAGTGAGAAATTTTGTGAGCTTATTATTCTGTGATCTCACTATATTCCAAATAAATTTCAACTTAAAAATTAAAAATTCTTGTTTTTTTAACGTTCATAAAGTATTTTATTAAATAAAAAATTAATTTATTAACTTCATTAGTTTTTTATACACAATTTAATTTGAATAGAGATATTATTCTTTGAAAAAAGATTGTATTAGGAGGACATAACAAAAACATAGTCAAAATTTGCATTAAAAGTTTCGAATTTATTTAAAATAAATATAAAAATAAAAAAAAAACTAATTTATAGTCATTTTAAATAATTTTAAAATTTATCATAATAAAAATTTAATCAAAATATCTTAACCTAACACAAATAAAATAATATCTAAATAAAAAAAGGATAATTTTACTTTATTGAGTTTTATTTTTTCCTTTAAAAGATAATCATGCTAGCTATTGTGATATGTCACATGTCATATATCATGAGATTCCTTTAAATAAAGCATCCACTCGAGAGAACAATCTCGAACAATTTTTTTGAATAAAAAATTCAGACAATGGCATTATTCGATGGGAAAAAAATGGATAGGTAAGAAATAGAGAAGGAAGAGAAGCAAAGATGCTAATAGACGTTGGGTGGATGACTATTCCATATTCTTTTATAAATTTCTTGTTTGAGATATCTATTTCTATTAAATAATTAGGCATGGGATTGATAGGTGAACTATCTATACGAATTTAACCGAAAGAGAAAGAAAAAAAAAACCCAAAAAATGTCAATTTTGCAAATCATGGATAATTAATTCAGTCCACATTACAGAGATGAGAAAGAGCTACGGTAACTATTATGGTTGTTGTACAGCCTAACGGCGGGAAGGTTCGGAAAGGCGGGAGGAGAGAATGGAGCTGAGCTGCTCCTGCGTATAACCGCGGCCTGAAAACTTGACCGTTACTTGCAGGTTCATGAGCTCCTTGACGACCGAAAAGCTCGCATGACATAGGTCGAGTTCCAGGTCCTTAAGCGACGCCATTAACCTCGCCGCTGGATGGTTCCGGCGGGAGCATTGAACCCGTATCATCGCTTCCGCGCCGAGTATCTTCACCTCGACCTCCACGTTGGATGACCTTCCGGTACTATTTATCACATTTAACCCCTGCTCGGCCGGCGGCTGTGACGGGGGCTTAGACATAAGGTTTTCGAGCTGAGACTGTAAGCCCTCTTTCTCGCTTTCGAGAGCTTCTACCTTCGACTGCATCTCGTTGATGTACGAGATGGCGTCGCCCAGCAGAGACGCCTTATCCATCTTCGAAACGTTGGGAACCACCGCGCGCAAAGCGTAGAATCTCTGGTTCAGCTTCTCGCGTCGCATCCGCTCCGCTTCAACGTGGTTGAGAGGCTCCTCCCGACCGTTGGCCGGCTTGCGCCCGCGCTTACGCGGCCGCGGCTTCTCGGGCTCCACAACCCTGCTGCTCTCCGCCTCGCGGACGGAAGCCTCCAGGTCGGAGTGGTCCGATTCTCCTGCCGCGGCGGATGCAATAGTGGCGGGCTTGACCTGACCGTTGGAGAAGGATAGCATGCCTTCTTCGTTGCTTCCTCGGGACGTTGTGGCGGCTGCGGATTTCTTGTTGACATCTGTGATCTGTTGATGGGGAGAAAGGCCAGAAGAGGACGAATTCCTAACCTTTTCCCCTAAATTAATGACGCCCGATTCCGGTTTTAAGGGCTGGGAAGTGACGGTGCTGTTTAGACCAAAATCTGAGAAATTGAATTCATTGCCGTATAAGGAGTGATGACGATGCTGCTGCAGATTCAATGATTGCCGGTGATTTTGCTGTGGTTGTGGAATTGGAATCAAATTCCGATTTTCCGTCAGGCTGCTGGTGCTAGGGTTGTCCATAATTGGGGATTTTATAGCAGAGATCTCGACGGTGGCAGGTGATACCGAATCCTTGATTTCAATGACGGATGGATCAGAGATCCACATCGATGGATCCGCCTCGCCCTGATCGGTCGCCACCGGAAGGAAAGAATGCGACGGCAGCCATGAACCCGGGCCGCCACCGGAAGCGGCCGCTGAATTTTCAAAACTGTTGAAACTGAACACAACCTTGACCTTGCTCATGATCTCCGCGCTATGGAAGATAGTATCCGTCGATCCGAGCTCAACGACGCCGTTTGCTACAGGAACACAAACCATCGTCTGGATCCCGAACGTTTGCGCCTGCAGCGCGCGCTCACAGTGTGCTACAGCGAGCCGATCACCACCGGCTATCCAGGAAGGGACGCCGGAAAAGAAGACTTGACCAGGGACTCCGGTACCATTTAAAAAAGACTGCGTCATGGATACAAGAAAAAACCACTCGCTATCAGTAACCTCCTCTTCAACCGCATCGTCCATCGAGAACCCTGCGCCGCCGGAGATCAGAGAATTAAGCTCCCGGAGCACGCGTTTCCGGTGCTCCTGCTCCGCTGCGGAGGCGGCCGTGTTAGCCTTCCTCTTCCTCTTGTCATCTTCGCTACCCTTGTAATACCCATCACCCCAGCCAAGAAGAGTAGCGCCAGAGCCAACGTCCACGGAAGATTGCCAAAAGATTGCGTATGCCCAGCTTTCCTTCGCTCCTTCGATCAGAATCTGTAACCTATGCTGTAGCGTTTCCTGACTGAAGTACGCCGGCGCCGGCGCAGGCATCGGCGTCCAACCGAGGCCGTGGAACTCGTTGGTGGGCATAAAGGCCTCCATCATAGAGGCGTTGTCGTCGGTCCACAGATTCATCACGATAGCATGAAGGAGTGGAGAGGCTCAGTATTGCGATCTAAACGGGTCTAGGGTTAGGGTTTGAAGAGCAGTTTGGAGTTCGGCCGTTGGGAATTAGAAGCGAGGGGGAAAGAGAGAGGAAGCAGAGATGGAGAGTTTGCCTACGGCAAAGCCTTGGCTTGTTTTTTACGTCATTTTTAATTCGATAGATCTGGCAGGTTTTGGAATTCCTTAAACCAAAAATTACCTGTAATTTGGGCTTCAATTACTGCTTAGTACCGTAAGGGCTTGAAAATTACTGTCAAGTTTCCACTCACTCCAACGACTGGCGAATTAACCGCAAGAACTTTCTGGCTAAGCGAGAAGGGCTGCTACGGCTTTTATTTTGTTTCAGCATTAATCATGTAAATATAGATCCATCATCCATGAGCAATTTAATTAAAATATAAAAGAATTTACTATAGCTCCAGTGGAAGATAAGATTAGAGAGAGTCGTCTTAGATTATTTGTCACATTAAACGAAGGGCCTTCGATGACCATGTTAGGTAAGTTGAGATATTAGATTTGACTTATGTTAAGAAAGATATAAGTAGATCTAAAAAAACTTGGTTTGAAAATATTAGAAATGATATTTTTTTATTAGATTTAAATGAGAATTTGATTTTAAACACGATACATTGACGAAAAATGATTCATTTTGCAGATCTCATGTAATGGGACAAAGGCTTGAAGTTTGTTGTTTTTGTTGTATAAAAAATGAGATAAGTATAATCTGAAATAGTTTTAATTTAAGAGAATTAAAAGAACTATTAAGCCCATTTTACTGCACCAGTATATTCTTTCACAAATTTTTTTTTTAAATTAAAATGAAACTCCAATTATAAGCTTATAATTAATAGATAAAAAATTAAGACATTTATTATAAAATATATAATAAATAATAACTTATTTAAAAAATATTATATGATCAATAAATAAATTTCATAAAAAATAGATATGCTGATTTTTAATTAATTAAAGATTAATTAATTATTAATTCTGTGAAAAAGAATTTTTAAATACAGCTAATTTAACAGCCGCCAAGGATTCGCTTCGCCGACGCTCGGAATCAGCGGATTTTTTTGACTAGAACTTGGCCCACGTGGGAAAGGAGCCGATAAGAACGATGACGCGTGGGTTTGAACGGAAAATTAGAGATAAAAAAAAAAATTCTATTTTTGTTTAGCTATTGAAAAAGTATGCAGATCTGAGCCGTTTAAATGCTTATGTGATTAGATCAAGGCCATTGAGGTGTCCATCCATATCTATGCGAATGTCCCCACAAAATATATTGGAAGGCAGGTTGAAGGGCTTTTCGTAATTAAGCTTAAAGAAATAAATAATGGCGCAGATGGTACAATGAAGAAGACACTCATGCATTCTACTTGGCAGTTTCAATTGAGCAGACATCAACGTCTGATAATGGTGCTGCATCTAATTTCATTTAAAAAAAATTCTGAATTTAATTCTAATATTCGTTTAGACAGTAAATATTATGAAGAAAAATAATTTAATTTTGGTTAATTGTCTAAGATATTGTTTGAGATAACTTTTTTTATTGCTTCTTAAAAAAAATTTTAATGCAAAAATTAAAATTTTATTTTAAATAGATGCTTTAAGAAACAATAATAAAATCATTCCAAATGAAATCTGAGTATATTTTTTGGAGTGTATACTAATAGTGATGGACAAGATTCTTGTGAATGTGAGTAATATCATTTATTATAGTTGTTTGTGTGAAGCTTATTTTGCATTATGATTGATTATAGAAGCTTTATTTTTTTCTCAATTTAGATTTTTTATTGAGATTCCCATGTTATTTTGTATTAGATATGCAAATTATAGGTGTTTGATTCTACTTTTTTTTTAAGTAGTTAGTTTATTCATGACCACCAAATTATTTTTATTAATATAAGCTAAATTGTTATGATGGTCAAGAATGTAGTCCCGATAAGAAGTCGTATTCTAAATCTTTTGAGTAAATAGTAATGCATATTTATGTTATATTTATGGCTCAACTAACATTACAATGCAGTATAGTAAAATCATATTTTGCACTAATATGCATGTAGAGATGTGAGAGATAGGCTTTGTTTGAGGAACAATTATTACGTCATCTGACCGGACGTAGAGCTACGTTCGGCTGCCAATAACATGTCGCCACATGCTCTTACTCTCTACCGCGCGGCCGGACGACTTGACCCGGATCGGAACCCGGGAATGCTATGTTTGCGTATTGCGAGGTATTACTCGATATTTGCTCGGTATTGCTCGGTATTGCTAGGTATTGCATGACGATAACGAGAAATACCACTCTCTGAAGACCAATACCGAGTTGTATTGAGTTTTTAAAAACTCGGTACAACTCAGTATTTGCTCGGTATTGGTTATTGCCGAGCAAAATCGATCAATACCTAGCAATACCGAGCAATACCTAGCAAAAACGAGAAATACCGAGCCATCCAGGGTCCGTTCCGGGTAGGGTTGTCGGGGTGCGCGGTAAATAGTGAGAACTCGTGACGCGATTCTCATGGCGGCTGAACATAGAGCTACGTCCTGTGACCGGACCAAATAAAAGTATTTGTTTGAGACGGCTTTATTATCACTTCTTAAATTAACTTTTAGCACAAAAATTAAAATTTTTCTATTAAAAAACCGCTTTAAGAAGCAATAAAAAAAGTCGTTCCAAATAAAGTCATACTCAAATCTAAGCAATAATATGGCCAAATAGTTTGTTTTAATGTGACATATATAATAATCCAAGCCTGAAAGAGCTAGTCAGATGTTACTGGTGATGATACCAATGTTTACTATGATATAATAGATAATGATTCAAACATTGAGTCAAGTAGAAAATAAAGAACATATGAAAGATCTAATGGTGATGAATGGAATATTATTATAGATGTGATCCTTACCTAACTCGTTACTTTGGTTGACTAGATGGTGGGATAGAGTAGAAGAGAGTGTATAATTTCTCCATTATTTGTTAAGGAAAGGGGCTTCTTTGCCCAATGATGACTAAAGAGGAATTGAAAATTTTAGAATGGAGGACTCAAGTGTGAACATAGGTGTTCATGCCAAAGCACTATAAAAATCAATTTACACCTTTTTTTTTCTTTTGCATGAACTTTCTTGCAACATTATTTTTTACTACTTTCTATTTCTTATTCTCTTAATTCAATGGATGAATTAGTTGATAATCTTAGGCATTCTTAGCAAATATATTTTACATATATATCTAGTTTACTCTTAAAGATAATCTTATCATTTTTTTTTTTTCAAAATAAGCTTACTAATTTTTAACCTTGAACTGTTTATCTTGTAATTCATCAAAAAAATTAAGAAATCTAAAAAAATATTATTTGTTGTTGTTGATCTTGCTAAATTAAAAAAAAAAGGAAATATTTTCTTCTCACATCTTATTAATTTGAAAAACACACACATATTCACTCTCCCCTCATCGGTGTTGTCATTCACTTCAATCAAACCTCTACTTACATGATATTTTAACTTGTGTGATAAGTTTTTATGATTCGGTTATTGAAAGGCTTCTATTTTGCTCGTGATGAGTAGTGTAACACTTTAATTTGAAGGCATCCAATTTATTGATGTAACTCTAATGGAGATAAGTTTAACAAAATATATGTAAGGGTTAAGGTTGAATTTAGATTGATTTTACTACCACATCAGGTACATATAGCGGTACCGAGCGATATTGAGCAGTACCGAGCCGCGGTATTGAGCGAAGGGGTGACGTGACGCATTGGTTGGTCTCCGGACGTCGTTCGGCGTTCGCACAGAATAATTAATCCCTTTAAGAGGAGGCTTAGATGATCATTCACTTGCATTTTAGCTACCAACGAAAGCCATTTATTATTAAAAAAAAAATTTAAACTTTTACAAATCGGTGGTAAGCTTTGAGAATAGAAAGAGATATAAAAATTTGGTAAACATATAAACTATTCATTTGCTATATTTCATTGTAATTTTTATTTCTAATTTAAATTCTATTTTTGAATTTCGCTGTGATTAATTAGATTGATAATATTTAAACATTAATTAAAAAAATACCAAAAGAAATTCAAACACTTTAAATTTGTTTTTAATATTTTAAGCATATCTCTCATTTTTATAAACACATCGAGCCAAACAATGGGTCATAAATGGCATATATAGTTCAAAGTTGTTTATTAATTCATCAAAAATTTGTAGGAAAAAAACACTTAATACTTCTTTGCGTGATTGAAATTTTGAACAATAGCAAATAAATATAAGCCACTAAATCAACATGTAACACTGGATCTGTATCCTTATAAATAATAGTATGTTTTTACAAAGAAATTCATATTATATACGAACAAATATAAGCTTGAAGAGAGAAGTTTCAATTTCAAAAAATATAAGTTATACTAAACCTAATACACTTTATAAGTCCTTAGGAACATCAATTAATAATGCCTCAACTGTTCAATCTTCTCATCTTTCTATGGTTAGTGAAGGCATGTGTGTAATCGATTTTAAGTGATATTTTAACTTGATATGTATTGAATTCTCTTTGAATATCCTACAAGTTCTCTCCAATTAGAAACTTATTCTTCTTACAATTCACAAGTTATCTTAGAATTATGGGGGGATTCAGCTTCTTTTTTTAAGATTGGACAAAATTTAATTAAGATGACAATAATAATAATAAAATAAAATAATAATAATAATAATTAAAAAAAATTTTAAAAACATAATGTTCAAATTTATAAGAGCAAATTTTGATCATTTATCCGCGAAGAGGAAAAGTTCGGAACTTCAGTGGATGGGAAAACAACACGAGATGGGCCATATAAGAGCAAATTTTTTTTTTTATTGGGGGGGATCCACCCATGCTTAGAATCAGATGAGAATATATTTTCTCTATGAATTTATGTATGATTATTTTTTTCACACCATCTATATTTGGATGCTGCTCCGCCAATGTGTCTATTATTTTATGAAATCTCAATTATATGTTATGCAAGCCAATTAATAATGAGTAAATAAATATTAACAATCACTTATTGATTAGAGTAACACAGCAAAAAAAAAAAAAAAAATCAATAACATTTGTAGAAAAATCAATAACATTTGTAGACGACATAAATTGATTTGACAAAAAAATATGGTAAGTTGTGAAAAGTTAAAAGAAAAATGTCAAAAGTTATATGGATATCTATAAAGTGGTTTTGATTTCATAGAGAAGGAAAATGGAAGTAAAAGGTTGAAAAAAATTATAAAGTCACATTATTATTATTATTATTTTTAATTAGGGCATGAAAATGACGTAG